TGCCGAAGAGCACATGGAACCCAGGGAAGGGAAAGGAAGGAAGGGCCCTGGCCAGCACTGTGGGGCTTGGGTGGTGTGTCACTCCTGACAGCCAGACACAGCCAGGTCCCAGCGCACCTCTGGCCAGTCCTCTAGCTGTGCTGGCTCCAGGCAGTGGCTCTGACTGCAGCTGGAGCTTGTTCTGGCTGATCCCATCATGGGCTGATTTCTGAGCTGCTCCTGGCTCACTGGGGAGAGGCCTATTTTTCATTCCTGTGCCAAGCCTGAGCTGGCAGCCCCTGGCAAGTCTGCGATGTCTCCCTAAGCAGCTCCAGCTTTAGGAATTAATTCCACTGAACAGATTGCTCAGGAAGCTTCAAGGTCATCTGAAAATGGCAGTTCCTACGTTAGGACTACCAGTCCAGGTATACGGGCTGGAAATTTCCAAGCCAGCAAGAACCCTAGAACACCAGAGCACTGCAGAGGCTCTCAGTGGCCAACACGGAGGGTGCTGGCTCAGATGAGCCCCTCGGGGCTGGTTCTCTGCAGGACTTTTGGGGGCGGGTAGACATGCCCCTGCCCTATACCCTGCAGCCCCCACAGTTGGCCAGATTCACTGGACTGCCACTTTCTAATCCCAGCGGGAAGGGACTGCTGGGTTCTCCCCACTCCAGGAGGGTGCTGAGAGCAGAGCCCTCTGTGTCCCCCTGGGCCAAGGCCCTGGTCCTCCTGGTCTCCACATCTCACTCATCCACTTTCTGGCAGACAGAATGGCCCAGTCCTTTGGCTCTGGCAGCCTTCCCAAGCCTCAAGATCACAGCTGGCCTGAGGCAAGGAGCCCTCCCAGTCCACAAGCAGATATACAGGATGCTTCTAAGATGCAGGTCTGAGCCAGAGGGAAGCTGTGCCTTGGAGAGGAGCAATTTCCCAATCATAACATGGGAAGGAGCGATAAAACCAGCAGTTAGTGGTCAGAGAAATGAACGGGAGGACACAGCGTGGCAGATGCCCCTTTCCTGTTGCTTGGATGTAACTGGGTTATTGCCTGAGTGCCCTGGGGCCTGCATTGAGAAAGCTCCACTGAGCTCTCCTCTGCTGGCCCAGGGCTTGCCCCTTAAAGCGACAGAGGCAATGTGGACCAGGTAGGAAGAACAGGCAGCTTCAGAACCAAGCAGACCTGGGCAAGGCTGCAGTTCGATGTTGATTGGCCCTGGGACCTGGGGTGAGAACTTGGCCTTTCTGAACCGCATCTTCTTGTATCTAAAGCAGTAGTCATAGGAGATGGGCTAGCTACAGGGCTTAGCATGGTGCCCAGTGGGGAAAAACCCTCCACTTGGAGCAAGAAAACAGCACGGGGCTGATGCTACAGTGGCAGAGCCTAGTGAGACCTGAATTATATTCTCCACCTGCAACCAAGTAAGCACAGTGGCTTGCCGCTCATCACCTGTTTGCCAGAAGCATACAGCACTTGTCTCCCTGCCGGGAGAGCCACTCAGAAACCTGTTGTGTGTGTTCAGTATCTTGATGCACCAAGAAAGCCATGCCAGGAAGGCGTGTGATGAGCTCCTGCCGTAACCTCTCCAGGCTGCTGCTCACAGCCGCTGCCCAGAAACCTCCCTTCCATTGTGGTTACATTGGAATGTTCTAGAGTGAGTGCAGGCGATAACCTCCCTCAAAGAAAGGGGGCAGGATCTCATTCGGCCTCATGTCCTACTGAGTACAACCTGGATGGTGGCCTCCCATTTGTTCTGCTGGCCTTTGAGGTTGGGGAGCGAGGATGTGGAGTTGTCAGATTCCCTGTTAAGGAGGTCCAAGGTGGTCCAGAGCACCATCCTGGGAGATGGACATGCTAATTTGCCACCCCCAGCTGGACTCCACACCCAGAAGCCCTTCAGGCAGCCGGGAGGTGTGGCTCTGCAGCAGTCAGCTACCCTCGGCTGTTTGGCCACCCTGGAACCTTCTCTGGCAGATGCCATCAAGGACCTGGTCCTATGCAGGAGCTCCAGCATGGACACATGTTTGGATATTCATAAGAAAAGAAACACGAGGTGTTTCTGTTGTGTTCATGAGAAGGTAGAGCTGACCCTGAAGTCTGCTGTTCCTAGCCAGGATAGGGTAGCCCTCTCTACCCGAGGCAGCGTGGCCTCCGCTTCCTCCTCACCCACGAGAGCTCCCTGAACTGCCTCCTCCTCCCAGAGCTGAGGGTCTCCCTCCCGCTTCCACTCTGAGCCTCCACAGGGCCCACACACTGCCCTCGGCCATGGGTCTCCTTGGCTGTCACCCCAACCACGTGCTCCTCCTGGGTGGACATCCCAGCTCTCTTGTCGGGGGCTTATGGAAGCCAGGTAGTCTCTCAGGCCCTGGGATGCTACTTCAAGGCAGGCACATTCCTGCCATCACACTGGCTGGTTCTGCTCCTGACAGCCACCCTGCTGCCCGCTTGCCTGTTGGTGAAGCTGGGGCCTGCGAGCAGGCTGGGCTGTCTTGTGAGTGACATGCTCACACTGCCTAAAGGGAGGGCAAGGCTTTACTGGGAGATTCAAGATGAAATTTGAAAGAGCAGAGGGCCATAACTCATTACTCAGTGGGAAGACTAGACATTGTAGAGATGTCAGGCTTCTCCACACTCTCCAAGAGAGGTAACACAAATGCAATTTGACTTCTAAAGGGGGTGAAGAAACTGATTTTGCAATTCATCGAAAATAGTACAGGGTAAGATGGTCAGGAAACATACTAAAAGCAAGGAGCAGTGAGGGAAAGCTCTGACTCTACCTATTAAAACATAATTTGGGGCCAGTCGCAGTGGCTCATGCCTGTAATCCCAGCACTTTGGGAGGCCGAGGCGGGTGGATCACGAGGTCAGGAGATCGAGACCATCCCGGCTAACACGGTGAAACCCCATCTCTACTAAAAAATACAAAAAAAAATTAGCCGGGCCTGGTGGCGGGTGCCTGTAGTCCCAGCTACTCGGGAGGCTGAGGCAGGAGAATAGCGTGAACCCAGGAGGCGGAGCTTGCAGTGAGCCGAGATCGCGCCACTGCACTCCAGCCTGGGCGACAGAGCGAGACTCTGTCTCAAAAACAAAAACAACAACAACAACAAAAACATGATTTGGGAGTAACAGAAATGAAAACTGTGGTGCTGATGCAGAAGTTCGATATTGTGGCTCGCTGGAAAATAGTGAAAGGCCCCTGTTCCGTGTAATAATTCACTCTAGGTTGGAGGCAGTGGCTTACAAGAGAGAGGGGAGGGAGGATGAGCTAGTTTGTGTCCAGCAAAGTAGGAGGACTGCATCACTCTCTGCCAAGATAAAGTAGTCAACTACTTAAAGGACGGAAAATTACAATAAATGGAATTGAACATGTGTCTGCCCTTTGAAAGGATAACTTTCTAAGTTTTGAAGTGGCAAAAAAAATCATCAAAGATTAACAAATTTAATTTTTCAACTTAAAACTTTTCAAAGAAAAGAATCTCAAAAGTCAAAGAATAGGCTGGAAAATTATGGTAGCAGATGAATAGCAATCTTGTGAAAGGCTCCTAAACAAAAGCATTGGAAATATTTAACCTCAATGGTTATTAAAGAAATACAGATTTCAACAAGGAGGGACATTCTGCACATATGACATTAGCAGAAAGAGAGTCATGATAGAAGGGGGCAGGTGACCACACAAACTGCTGATAGCTGAAAAAGTGAGGCGACCTTTGGGGATAAAATTTGCAAAATGTTTGGGGAATGCTAAAGAGAGTCATATCTTCTTACCCAGTGACCCTACTTTGGGGAGATTTGCCCTAAGGGGAGGATCTCCAAATAGTTGTCAGGCCTGTTCCACTGAACCTCCTCCAGGGCCACTAAAAGGAGCCCATGGGGGACACCGGACTCCCCTCCCCGCCACCCCCCCCAAGCTGTTCCTTTTTGTCTGTTTATACATAGACTGTGTGGGTGTTCTCAGTAAGATTTCATTTAACCAAAGGTTTTCAGGGATACAAAACAGACTGGAAATCCACTGATCTAAAGAACAAAGAGGCGCTTTCTGGAAAGATGTTCATGTCTGTGCGATTCAGAACAGCAAAGAGACTGGATGTGACCTAAATGTCTCTCCCCAAGGGAAAGGTTGAGAAAGTACACACATCGCTTATAGAGGTGCGTGGCTTGGAAACATGATGTTGATGAAATAGGTAGGACCAATGTGTACACCCCAACCAAGGAGAACGAAGATGACAGCTGGGCACAGCCTGGGGCAAGCAGGGACAGTGAGGTCAGGGCCTTTGTTCAGGGAAGGGGCTGTGAGCAATTTAAAAACTGTCATCATCATTTTGATAGTATAATTCCACCCATGATGTTTCTTTAGTTTAAAAAAAAAAAATGACAGGCCAGGCGGGGTGGCTCACGCCTGTAATCCCAGCATTTTGGGAGGCCAAGGCAGGCAGATCATGAGGTCAGGAGAATGAGACCATCCTGGCTAACATGGTGAAACCCGGTCTCTACTAAAAATACAAAAACTTAGCCGGGCGAGGTGGCAGCGCCTGTAGTCCCAGCTATTCAGGAGGCTGAGGCAGGAGAATGGTGTGAACCTGGGAGGCAGAGCTTGCAGTGAGCCGAGATTGCACCACTGCACTCCAGCCTGGGCAACAGAGCGAGACTCTGTCTCAAAAAAAAACAAAAAAAAAAACCACAGTTGCATCCCATGCTGACGCCACACTGGGTCAGTGCAGACTGCGGACCTCCAACTGGTTCATTCATGGTTCTTCAGTTTTCAGATGAACCATATGAAGTTGCCATTTTTAAATTCAAAATATGGCTGAATATCAGCAATTTTGTATTAGTCAGCTCGGCGACTATTTCGACTGTTGCCCCTGAACGCAGGAAGTACTTGAGAACTTACTATGGGCCCAGCCCAATGGCGATACATTCCCGGCTCCAAGGAACTGACTGGAAACTCAAGGACAAGTAGGAGCGCAGAGCTCCTGGAGCCTCCATGGCTGACTGTCTCCCTCTCTCTCTCTCTCTCTGACCCCTCCAGGCGCTGATCCTTCACCAGCTGGGCCGCTACAGTCTGGCAGAGAAGATCCTCCGGGACGCGGTGCAGGTGAACTCGACAGCCCACGAGGTCTGGAACGGGCTGGGCGAGGTCCTCCAAGCTCAGGGCAACGACGCGGCGGCCACGGAGTGCTTCCTGACAGCCTTGGAGCTGGAGGCCAGCAGCCCCGCTGTGCCCTTCACCATCATCCCCCGCGTGCTCTGAGCAGGCGCCTGCCAGCCTCACCTGCCGCTCAGGCCTCAGAGGCCCTGCCGGGCACCAGGGCTTGTCCCATCGCCCCCAGGGGATGAATCTGCCGCACTGAGGCCAGGGACGAGCGTTCAGTGGGCCACAGTGAACCAACCAAACCAAGCCCAAATCATTGCTCTGCCGCGTGCGTTTCTCTTGTTGTTTTTTGCCAGCCCAATGATAGTTTCTGAACCTATTGACATTGTTCAAAATGGATCATGTGCCATATTTTGTTAGTCGACATCTGAGTTTTAAGTAAAATGATTATGGAATTAATCAGCAAATGTAGAAGAATATATTCAAAGTTAAAATTCAGTGGCAGAACAGATTATTTTTATCAGAGCTGTAAAGAAAACAACTGTCCTCTTCTCCCCACCACCCCTCCTGCCCCACCTTGGCCCAGAAACCAAATGTGAACTTCCTGTTTCCCACCTCAGCGCTAGTCCATGCCGGGAACCAGCTGACAATTTCTTGGTTTTACTGTCAATAATTATACCATGTGATCAATGACTGTCCTCACTTAGAACAAAGCCTGAGTCCAAGAATATTTATATTTTACCAATATATGCCTGTTACAAGAGAAGGAAATATGAGTTATTTAAGTTTAACTTTTTTATGTGAATTCAGAGTTTATTTATCGAGGGAAATATGTACAAAGAAGCTTCAAATGGAATATTTACTGACATTCCTTATACATGACAGACACTTGGCTACATGGGAAGATGATGTTAATAATAAAATGATTTTTAAATGGACTCATAGCCTGTGTCATTTGTAAAAGCTCAAAGATCTGAGAAAGGCTTAGTTCCTGGGTTGAGGAGCTGTCTGTACCTGGGGACCCACTCTGGACATGTCAGCCCTTGACACTAGAAGGCCCAGCCTCTCTTTCCCCACTTACTTTATTTTTATTTTTTGGAGACAGGGTCTCACTCTGTTGCCCAGGCTGGAGTGCAGTGGTGCAATCACAGTTCACTGCATCCTCGACTTCCCAGGTTCAGGTGATCCTCCCCCCCTCAGCTTCCTGAGTAGCTGAGACCACAGGCGCACTCTACCATGCCCGGCTAATTTTTGTTTGTTTTTGTAGAGATAGGGTCTCACTATGTTACCCAGGCTGGTCCTGAACTCCTGGACTCAAGCAGTCCTCCCACCTCAGCCTCCGAAAGTGCTGGTGTGAGCCACCATGCCCGGCCATCTCCTCACTTATAATTTGAAGATGATCCTTAGGTAGGGACGTGTTTCCTGGGTCCTCGGCACCCAGGCCTCGTTTTTGCAGCAACAGCCCTGGGTTTGGTTTGGGAATTCTCCTTAGCTCTCCCCCGATGGGGCTTTGGAATTGGAGCATGCAGCTCAGCCCTGCCCAAGCAGCCTCCTGCACTCATGGGCCACAGAGGGTCAGGAGTGAGCATGTGACCTAAAGCGGTCCAGTCGGAGCGGGAGCCGCAGGGAAAGCTGTCGCTCTTTCCTGCTGCCTTTCAATGGGAGAGGTGAGGCTGGAACTGCAGCAGCACTCTTGCCACCGCGAGAAGAAGGTGTAGAGGTGTTTGAGCCAAAGTCCAAATCCCACAGAGTAGACAGCAAGACCAGCAACCAGAGAGAAAGTGAGCAGGTATCTGCAGGCCCTCGGGGGCAGCTGGAGGGTGGCCCCACCTTTCCAGGACCCAGGGAAATATGGAGGGCTGAGCGCTGATCTTAGGTGCCCTGAAGCCTAGAGGACTGCATTCAAACTGGGCACAACCTGCCTGGCTCAGTGAGGCAGGTGGGCTAGGGGGCAGCCAAGGAGGGAGAGACAGTAAGTAGGAGCCCCAGCCTCAGCACTGACCCTGCCAGGCAGCACTTGTGGCTTTGAGTGGCCATAAGTCATGGGATTTGCATTGTAGGACCTGGGGCAGGTGCTCAGTGTGGTGGCAGCTTGCCCTGATTGGAGGCACAGGGCTGGGCACTGCCATCCCATGCAGGAGTGTGGGGCAAGGCCCACTGGATCCGGACTAGGAAGGGAGGAGGCTGGGCCACTGAGGCAGATGGTGCAGGCGCCATACAAGACCTTGTCCGCCAGGCCCTCACCTCAAAGACTCCTGTGCGTATCAGCCCCGTAGGGCGCTGGGGCTGGCACCTCTCCATTGTCTTCATCTCCCTCGGGAGAACCACCCCTACTCTCCACCCACATGGCTCAAGGATGGACACATGGGCCCAGCCTTAACAACCGGAGCCCCCCAGCTCCCCAGTGTCAGTGACTGGTTTGGGTTTGGGCATGTGACCCATGCGTGGCCAATGAGAAGCACCCCTGGGACTTTGGTTATGAAAACGTTAGAAAAAAAGCCTCTTTCTGTCCTAATAGGATGCCAATGGGGTGCTGTGGGTGCCATTTGACATTGTATGGGGTGGCCTACCTGAGAATGATGCCAACACAGAAAAAGAGAATGAGGAGGTGGAGAGAGCTGGGCCCAGGGTCACCGCTGGAGCACTGCAGCCCGAGATTTTTCCATCATAGGAGCCCATACGGTTTCCCATCTTGCTTAGCGCAAGCACAGCGGTTTCCATCCCTTCTACCTAAAAGGTGCCTAAGAAATGCAGGAAAGTCCTGCCATCCTTGGCACTCCCCACTTGGGCACTCTTCCAGACTCCTCAGTCCCCCACCTTAATCCCATTCACTCACCTCATATTCTGTTTTCCAGTAAATCCTGTCTTTTCTACCCAAATCGCATCTCAAATCTCTCCCATTCACCTTCATCCCCAGCACCTTGGCCCCAGCCCCACACAGTCCAATGTCAGCAGACCCCTCTTAGAAGGGAGGATGGGGTCGGTTCCCTCTATAAACCCCTGATGGCTTCTCAAGCTCTTGCCTGGAACTGGACTCTGTGTCCTGGCCCCACTGTGCCTGGCTGTGTGTAGCCCCTCTGTGTCCCGGCCCCACTATGCCTGGCTGTGTCCAGCCCCACTGTGTCCCGGCCCCCTGTGCCTGGCTGTGTGTAGCCCCTCTGTGTCCTGGCCCCACTGTGCCTGGCTGCCTCTCCTTCCCCAAGCCCTCTCGTGGCTCTGGCCACCTTCCTAGTCTTCTGACCTGCTGAGCCTTTCCCAACTAAGGACGTTCATCCATCCATCCACCCAACCATCCATCCATTAACAGATGAGGACACAGACGCTAGACGCCAAGAGGGCAGGACACCTGCCTGGGGTCATCATGGAATGACCTGGCAGGACTGAGATTGAGGCAGGCCTGAGGGATAAACCTTTCAAAAGTGCCCAGTTCTGCCCAGTGGAGGCGTTTTTGGACAGTGAGATGCGGGAGATGCCTCGTTTGATTCCAGGACTAGTGCTGACCCTAACTTAGGCAAGGGGTTCCTGTTCCCTGGTCTTAGTCTCCCCCTCTGTAAAATTTCATTCATTCATTCACTCATTCATTCATCCAACAAATATCTATGGAATGCTCACAACATCCCAGATCTTATTCCAGGCACTGAGGGCACAGCAATGTGTGACACAGATGCCGCATCCACTTAGGACCTACCTTCTGGTAGAAGAAAAAAGGCAGATGAGGAATATGGCAGGTGGGGTGACGCATGGAGAAAGATGAAGCCAGGGAAGGGGTAGGGAGTGGCAGGGCTGCCCTTTAGAGGGTGACTAGGGAAGCCTCGCTAAGAAGGTACCATCTGGCTGAAGAAAGGCAGGTAATCTGGGAGGAGGACGTCTCAGGGAACAGGAATAGCAGGTGCAAAGGCCCAGAGGGGAGGGGGACGGTCAGGTGGTGAAGGACGAGAAGAGGTCAGAAGTTTAACAGGGGCCACACAGGGTGAGGCCTCGTGGACCATGCTAACGGTGTATATTCATTACCTGTGGTTGCAGCAAATTACCATGAACTGTCTGGGCATGGTGGCTCCTGCCTGTAATCCCAGCACTTTAGGAGGCCGAGCCAGGAGAATCAGCTGAGCCCAGGAGTTCAAGACCAGCCTGGGCAACATGGTGAGACCCCTATCTCTACAAAAAAATATATATCTCTCTCTCCAGGTTTGGTGGCATGCACCTGTAGTCCCAGCTGCTTAGGGGGCTGAGATGGGCTGATTGCCTGAGCCCAGGAGGTTGAGGCTGCAGTGAGTGGTCATGCCACTGCAGTCCAGCCTGCATGAGAGACCAAGACCCTGTCTCTACAAATAAAATAAATTTTTAAATTTTAAATGACTGCAAACTTAGTGTCTTAACACAAATTTATTCTCTTTGTTTTGGAGGTCAGAAGTCACAAATCAAGGTTTCAGTGGGGCTGTGCTCCTTCCCCGGGCTCTGGAGGAGGACGGGCATCCCTGTCTTCTCCCGCAGCTAGAAGCTTCCTGCGGCCTTGGCTCGTGGCCGCCTTACATTGCCTTTCCTTCCTCTGTTCCATCACTGTGTCACCTTCTGCCTTTGACCTCCTGCCTCCCTCTAAGGACTCTGCTGGTTGCACTGGGCCCCCTGGACAGTCCAGGGCCATTGCCCCACCTCAAGAGCCTTCGTTCAGTCACAACTGCACAGCCCCATCTATCGTGGAAGGCAACAATAGTCACAGGTTCCAGGACTCAGGGTGTGGACGTCTTTGGGGGTTAGGGGGAGCACATTATTCTGCAGGCCACAGCGTGGGAGCTGGGAGGCTGTCAGGCTCCTGCCGTCACACAGCGACCATGGTGCTTAGACCAAGGGGCGTGGAGGAAGTGGCGAGAGGTACTGGACTGTGAAGATTCTGAAGACAGAGCCAAGAGGGTTTGCTCACACATGGAGCTGGGTGTGAGGGAGGGGAGACGCCAGGGATGAGGGTGGGGGTCTTGTCCTGAGCTACGGGAAGGATGGCACTGACCGCCAGGAGGCAGGGGAATAGGTTGGGGAGGAGAGGGGAAGGCAGGAGTCTGCTTTCAGGCAGGTTGAATACAGAATGCCTGTGGAGCCTCTGAGGCGGAGGCAGCTGGCTGGGCTGAGATGAGGCGAGAGTGTGGGAGGTGTCAGGGATGTGGGGCTGGGAGCCATGGGCCTGACGGGGCCACCTCGGGACAAGCATAGACAAAGAGGAAGAGGTCAGGGCTGAGCTCCGGGGCTGGTGGGGTTTACAGGCTGGGAAATGAAGAGATCAGGAAAGAAGGCGCAGGAGCAGCTGCGAGGGAGGCGGAGAACAGGCAGGGTGAGCTTCCTGGAGGAGGTGGGTGGGCTCTCTCAATGTCCGGAGACCCCAGCAGGGTGGCCTGAGAGCTAACCGTGGGCCTGGCAGTGTGCAGGTTGGCAGTGACCTTGACCAGAGCCATGCTGGGGATGGAATTTTGCTCCCCCAGATTCATAGGGTGGAACCCCCGCCCCAGTGTGACTGTATTTGGAGATAGGCCCCTTAAGGAGGTAATTCGGGTGAAGTGAGGTCATCAGGAAGGGCCCCGGCCCAGTAGGATTGGCGTCCTCACCAGAAGAGACTCCAAAGTGCAAATGAGCTCACGCTCAGCCACGCCAGGACACATGGAGAAGGCGGCCACCCGCAAGCCAGGAGGGAGCCTCGCAGGAACCCAGATGGGCTGGAACCTTTGCTTTGTTCTTTGAGCCTCCGGGATCATGAGAAATTAAGTTCATTGTTGAAGCCACCTGTCTGTGGCGGTTTTCTTACTGCAGCCCAAGCCAAATTAGGTGGGGTCAAGCTAGGTTGGAGTGGGCGCAAGGGGGAGGAAAAGGTAAAGTCTCTTTCAAGAGCGTAGCTGCGGAGGAGAGCTGAGAGCACTGGGTGGGAGGCCGGTGGGGAAGGGGCCATATTGAGGGCGGGCCTCGCTGAGCACCTTGTATTTGCAGCGGGGCAGGTGTGAGGAGGGAGAGAGGGAAGCTGAGGGGGCTCCCTTGGCTGGGGGCCTGGTGGTTCCGCAGAGCAGCAGCAGGGAGGCAGAGGCCTGGGTACCCCCAAGCCAGGGAGCCCTGGGGAAGGGGCACCCACTCCTCGTTGAGCAGGGAGCCAACTTCGGGCAGGGTGGGGTGGCAAATGGACCAGGAAGGGAAGGAGGAGACGGAGGAGGGAGCAGGCCCTTCTGTGAAGGAGCTGCCTCACCCAGCCGAGAGGATCTCAGGACAGAGCCAGGCTGGGGGCCTGGGCAGGTATGGCTGGGGCAGGCCACTTCCCATCCCCAGCCCCATTTAGGATCCATGGGCTCATCTGTCTGTCTGTCCCTCTGCCTCCTTCCAGGTCCTGGGCCCTGGGCTGTGGCCAGGGCTCTGCTCACCCTCAGGGCTGGGTGGGGACCTCTCCAGGTGGGGAAGGGAGGGAACCAAGGCCTCCCGTTTTCCTCCGTGCCCCCTACGCGTTGTCATGGGCTGGGGGCAGGTGCACGCTCGTGCACAGGTGGGCATGTCTGTGATCACATGGAGCAACCCCAGACTCCTCCAGATGGTCCCACGCCTCGCCCCGGCGGCCACATGGTCCTCATTGCAGGCCCGGACCATCTGCCTGCAGGAAGTGCCCCCTTTGCCGGGCACCCTCCCCATCATCCTTGGAGTTCTCCACCTCTGTCCTGTCCATGCTGGGCCTGTCAACAGCCTATCACCTGCTGCCCCAACCCCAGCCCAGGTCCCTGCAGCACAGCCAGCTCCAGGCTGGAATGGGTGACCCAGCCCCACTGAAGGCATTTCAGGTCAGGGTCAGCCACTCTGGCCACTGTCTTCCTCCAATGCCCCTGTACCTCCCAGTGCTCGGCCCCCGCCACTCGGCCCCCTCTCTCCGTATCTCCACTTTTTCATTCCTGCTCCTCCCCAGCCACCTCTCAAGGCTGACGGGGTGGGCATTGCCCAGTGTGGGGACATCACTCCTATTGAAGTTCCGTAAACAGTGCCTTGGGCACTGGGCCAGGTGGCTGCTCCTATCCCTCCCCTGGCCTCTGCCTGCTCCAGAAGCAGCCACACACTTGACCACAAACCTTTGAGGCCTGGCCGGAGTCCTCTGGGGGAGGCGGGCAGTAGCAGCCGCACTGGGCCTGAGGACCCCACACAGGAAAATGGGCCGAGCCCCAGGGCTGAGCCTCAGGGCTGCGGCTGCTCCCACCACCAGCCTTCCTCCCACACTCGTGGTCACGCGTTTCCTGCTGCCCCTGCCCACGCTGCGGCCGGATAGAAACAGAAAAAGGACATCCTGCACCATTTCAGACAGGCACGTGCTCCTCCTGAAGGTCTTTTGGGGGCCAGGTTGAGGCCCTCCCTCAAGGTCACGCCCTAGGGGACCCACTCCAGCTCTGCACCTGCCAGAGGTGATCCTCACTGTGCCACTGTCCCTCCCTGGACCCAGAATCAGATGGGGACACTCACCCCTGCCCAGCCTGCCTTCCGGGCTGAGATGTGGGTCTGCAGGCAGCTGTCAGGGGTGGTGTGTGCCAGGCAGGGGACACCAGGGCCACCGCCTCTCAGGACCACCACACAGAGCCTCAGGGCCAGGACTGCGGGCAGGGTTCCTCCCGGGTACTCAGTCCCTGAGTGGAGCTGACTATGGGGATGCGGCAGGAAGGTGGTGGGGGACCTTCTGCAGGTCCGCCTAGAGCCAGCAGCTCCAGCTGACCCTCTGGGCCACCCACAGCCACCACCACCCTCCTCGACTCCCTCATCTCTTGCTGTTTGGCTCTTGACCCCCTGAGGACAATAGGGATTCCCGGTGACCACTGGGCTGTGGGTCACACAGATCAGCCTGGAATCCCAGTTCTGCCGGGCCGTGTCGCCTCTTACAGGGAGGCACTCTGTCTCCTCGTCTCTACGGAGGGGGAGTAATTTCCTTTACGGGCTTTTGGGGATATTCACAGAGGTCAACCTGGACAGGGCATGGAGCCTGGACCCCGGGGTGCACCGTAAAGGCTTTCCGTCTTTCTCGCACCCTCAGGCGAGGGGTGAGTGGCTGCCGCGACGTGCTGAGGGGCCCTGAAGCATGGGGGTGAGTGGCTGCCGCGATGTGCTGAGGGGGCCCTGAAGCAGGGGGGGTGAGTGGCTGCCGCGACGTGCTGAGGGGTCCCTGAAGCAGGGCAGGAAGGGCAGAGCTAATGCAGCCGAGGTGGAGTCCGAGTCCCGCTCTGCATGGAGGAGGAGGTGAGGGGCCTGGTCAGCATGGGCACAGCTGGGGCCCTCTGTGACCGCCACCACCCTTGTCTCTGCCTCCTTGACCCCACAGGATCATCCTCAGGCCCTGGGTCCAGCCAAGGCCTGAGCAGGGTCATGCAGCCCTGTCCCGCTCGGCTCCCGTCCGCTGCTGCCTGAGTGGTGCCTGTGTCGAAGGGCTCGGACTGTGGGCCTGCTGGGCTGGAGCCTGAATCGTGGCCTGGCCACCCACTCTCCTAGGAGCCTTAGGCGAGTCACTAGTCCTCTCTGAGCCCCGGTTCCTCATCTGTGAAATGGAGAGAACAAGACAGTTGTAAAGATTCAGAGGGTGTGTAAAATGCAAGCACATGGCCGACCAGAGCCCAGCCCTGCCCCATGTGGCTCCTGTCCTGGGCATGGCAGGAGGTCAGGGTTTCCAGCCTGCCGTTCAGCAGTACCCAGACAGGCACAGCTACCAGAAGGTGACCTCCCCAAGCCCACAGAGGCTTCCTGGGCACCCAGCCCAGCCTGAAACCTCCACCCAGGCGGCAGTGAGGCCTTCCTGCCTGTGGTCAGCTGTGGTGTATCGAGGAGCCCTGGCCAGACACAGGTACCTGGCCTGGGGAGCTGGCGGTCTTACTGGGGACTGGGGAGACAGACTCCAAACAGAGGGGTAAACAAATAAGATAATTACCAGCTTGGCAGAGATGATGAGAGCAAATTTTAAGTGACAGGTGGAGGATTACTTTAGATGGGATGGTCGGGGACACCTCTGGGAGACAGTGACATTGAGTGACAAGAAGGTGCCACCCTGGAGGACTCCAGGGTTCTCCACCTTTAAGAAGGATCATGAGCAGAAGCCCAAATGCTTCAGGTTCTGTCACTTTCTACTACATGACTAGGCCCAGCCAGTTTTCAAAAGGGCTGGCTTGTCCTCACATTGCCAGCAAGGCCCAGACCATGTGAAGAGGGAAGAGCATCCTGTAATCTGCAAATACGGGATCAACTCTAAATTCTCTCGAGTTTCTTTCTTTAATATGTTGTCCAAAGGTAACTGTGTTAATTTTTACAAATATTTTTATGTAGCAGTTTTGGTTGTTTTTTGTTTGTTTATTTGTTTCTTTTTGTTCTATTTGAGACAGGGTCTCTCTCTGTCATTCAGGCTGGAGTACAGTGGCACGAGCTCAGGTCACTGCAGCCTCCACCTCTCAGGCTCAAGTGATCCTCCCACCTCAGCCTCCTGAGTAGCCGGGACTACAGATGCCAAGCCCCACTAATTTTTTGTAGAGACGGAGTTTCGCCATGTTGCCCAGGCTGGACGCCAACTCCTAGGCTCAAGTGATCCGGTCCCCTCAGCCTCTCAAAGGTCTCGGATAACAGGCGTGAGTCACTGTGCCTGGCCTATCAGCAGTTTTAGAAACAACAAGATTAAATAAGAAAGGGGCAGAGCTCAGACACAATGAGACTTTTCAGTCCAGTGTTTTCAGATCCTCTGGTTTCAACTTTATAATTTCACTTCAAAAATTTCAACTTCAAATTTCACTTCATTGCTTTCAAAATCTTGAGCCAGCTTGTCCTGTGGATCTGGGCTGTGCCTGTCTGCACTGGCAGATGGACAGAGCTCCTGTGTAGAGATGAAGCCAGTTCACCCACGGCTTTTTTTTTTTGAGATGGAGTTTTGCTCTTGTTGCCCAGGCTGGAGTGCAATGGCGCAATCTTGACTCACCGCAACCTCCGCCTCCCAGGTTCAAGCAATTCTCCTGCCTCAGCCTCCCGAGTGACTGGGATTACAGGCATGCGCCATCACGCCCGGCTTTTTTTTTTTTTTTTTTTTTAGTAGAGACAAGGTTTCACCATGTTGGTCAGGCTGGTCTCAAACTCCTGACTTCAGATGATCCGCCTGCCTCAGCCTCCCAAAGTGCTGGGATTACAGGTGTGAGCCACCACGCTTAGCTGTCTTTTTTTTTTTTTTTTAGGCAAGCAGCTTTTTAATTTTCTTTGTGATCATAAAACCTATACCCACTGTATCAGCTGCCTGTTGCTGCTGTAACAAATTGCCACAAATGTAGTGGCTTAGAACAACACACATTTCTTTCTTTCTTTTTTAAGTCATAACAATATATTTTAATCTCATAACAACTTCAATTGAATATAAAACTTTCTATTTTCAGCTATTAATATTAAAATTATATCATTTTATATCCTGTATTAACAGATTTATGCAGATTTACATTTCGTTCTTCAAATTCTATAGAATTTTAATTTTTTACTTTCATAGGTTATTGGGGAACACAGTGTTTGGTTACATGAGTAAGTTCTTTAGTGGTGATTTGTGAGATTCTGGTGCACCCATCACCCGAGCAGTAGACACTGCCCCAGATAAAACAACGCGCATTTCCTGTCTTCCATGTTGTTCTGGGAGTCAGAGGTCTAAAACGGGTCTCGTGGGGCAAAAGGCAAAGTGACGGCAGAGCTGTTCCTTCTGGAAGCACTAGGAAAGACGTCAAGCCTTGCCCTTTCCAGTTTCTTGGGGGTGTGCTTGGCTCATGGTCATATTCACAGCCAGCAGTGGCGTCACCCCGACCTCGCCACACAGCGATCTCTGTGACACGTCCTTCTCTGCCTCTGACCCTCCTGTCTCCCTCTTTCACTTGTAAGAGTCTCCTGACTACATTGGTGTCACCTGGATAATCCAAGACACTCTCCCCGTCTGAAGATCCCTCATCAAACTGCATCTGCCAAGCCCCTTTTGCAGGTAAGTGACCGTCTTCACAGGTTCCAGAGATTAGGATGCAGACATCTTTGGGGACCATCGTTTCACTTACCATACTCACCATGGGGACAATTTCAGAAATACGAAGACTAAGATCATTCAGTTCCACTATTTAGTGCTCATCTCAGCATTTTGGCCTATTACTTTCCAGCATTTTCCCATGCATATAGATTTTTTTTTCTTCTTTTTTAGACAGAGTCTCACTGTGTCCCCAGGCTGTGGTGCAGTGGCATGATCTCAGCTCACTGCAACCTCTGCCTCCCAAGTTCAAGTGATTCTCCTGCCCCAGCCTCCCCACTAGCTAGGATTACAGGTGCCCACCACCATGCCCAGCTAATTTTTTGCATTTTTAGTAGAGATGGAGTTTCACCATGTTAGCCAGGATGGTCTTGATCTCCTGACTTCATGATCCACCCGTCTCAGCCTCCCAAAGTGCTGGGATTTACAGGCATGAGCCACCGCACCCAGCCAAGTATACATATTTAATGAAGTGAAATCACACTATCTATAACACTGTATGGATCTTTTCACTTAATATTCTTTTGTCATTAAAACTCTTTCTAGATAACTTAGAGACAGTACAACCACCCCTCACATGGATGCACTGCAGACTGTTTAACCCATTCTCTATTGTCGATGATTTCAGTGGTTTCACATTGTCATACTACATACAATGGAATGGTTAATGCCAGCTCACAATTATTGAGCATTTATTATGCACCAATCATTTGACATGTATTAACTCATCTAATCCTCATGACAATCCTATGATAGGGATACAATTATTACTGATACAGGTCCAGGTGAGAAATGAAGCCCTCTTCAGAAGATGAAGAAACTTGCCCAAGTTTGGGTGATACTACAGCAAGCCTCGAACCAGGTCGCCTGACTCCAGAATCCACACTCTTAGCCACTCACATGCTCATTTTTCCCCAGCATCTCTGATTATCTATCTTAGGATAGAATTAGGATAGGCAGAATGGCAGTTCATTGGGCTATATTTATTGAGGGCTTAGTTTGTGCATTTTCCATGGGCTCACTCCGTTAATCCTCATGATGCCAAGAAGTGGTCTGTTAACTGGCTGAAGCCACGCTGGTTGGCTCCAATAGCTAGACTCTGCCTGGAACCTGTGTGTGGTAGCCAATCATTAGCAGTAGGAAAGGCTACGGCCTCTCCCTGACAAACTCACCTTGCCAGACGGTGCCCCCATGAATGCAAAGTGCAGTCAGATCCAACTATCAGAAATAGGTAACAAAGTGCAATTGGATCACACCATCAGAAACAGGTAACAGCACAGTTGGATCACACCATACCGGACCAATACCCCTCAAAACTATCAAGAGCATGAAAAAAGAAAAGTTTAAGAAGCCCATGAAGACATAACTAAATATTAGGTGGTACAGGGTCCTGGATGGGAAAGGCACTGTATTAGTACGTCGTCATGCAGCTAATAAAGACATACCCGAGACTAGGCAATTTATAAAGAAAACAGGTTTAATTGACTCACAGTTCAGCATGGCTGGAGAGGCCTCAGGAAACTTACAATCATGGAGGAAGGGGAGGCAAACATGTCCTTCTTCACATGGCAGCAGGAAGAAGTGCCGAGTAAAAAGGGGGGAAAAAAAAAGCCTTATAAAACCATCAGATCTCATGAGAACTCACTATCATGAGAACAGCATGAGGGTAACCACCCCCATGATTCAATTACCTCCCACCGAGTCCCTCCCACAACATGTGGGGATTAGGGGAAATACAATTCAAGGTGAGATTTGGGTGGGGACACAGCCAAACCATATCAGGCACATTCATTCGTATTATAAGCTGCTGACATCTAAATAAAGTCTGGAGTTTGGTTACTAGTAATGTACTGATGTCAGTTCCTTTGTTGGCACAAATGTACCAGGTAACATAAAGGGTTATATTAGGGGAAACTGAGAGAAGGGTAAGTGGGAATTCTGTGTGTTACCTTTGCAACTTTTCAGTGAATCTAAAATTATCCCAAACTTAATAGTTTATTTTTTTTTAAGTAAGGTCTAAGCCAACAAACACATGAGAAAATGTTCAACGTCATTACTCACTGGGGAAATGCAAGTCAAAACTCCAAGAGATACCACCTCACACCCACTAGAATGTCTATAATCAAAAAGACAGACAATAACAAATGTTTGTGAGGGCGTGGGGAAATTGGAACCCTCATACGTTGCTGGTGGGAATGTAAAATGGTACAGCCGCTTTGGAAAACGGTTTGGCAGTTTCTTAAAAAGTTAAACATAGAATTATCCAGAAATTCCTCTCTCAGTATGTACCCCAGAGAAAAGGAAATATATGTACAAATATAAAATACAAAGAGTTCTCTGCAAATGTTTACAGCAGCTTTATTTGTAATAGCCAAAAACTGATCACAATCCAAATGTCCACCAACAGATCAAAGGAGAAGCGAATTGTGATCTATTCCATACGAGGGGCTTGGTGCCTGCAGCAACACGGGTGAATCTCCAGAGAGTGGTGACGAGTTGGAGGAGCCAGTCAAAAAAGAAAGTGCTGTGTGATTCCATTTATAGAAAACTCCAGAAAATGTGGACTAATCTAGAGTGATGGAAAGCAGACCCATGATTGCCTGGGACAAGGAGCCTTGGGGGTGGAGGGGGGCCAGGGGGAGGAGTTTCAAAGGTGATAAGGACATTTTGAGGGTGATGGATGTGATCCCTATCTTAATTGTGGCCATGGCTTCATGGATAGATACAAATGTCAAAACATATTGAACTGTATACTTTAAATGCTCGCACTTTACTACATGCCAATCACATCTTCATAAAGCTGGGGTTTTTTTTGTTTTGTTTTGTTTTGTTTTTGTTTTTTTCTGTGTTTTTTTTTAAAAAAGGCCTGGAAATGGAGATGAGGACAGCCTGGCCTCAGTCTCCCCACTTGCAATGTGGGGGATCCCCATGTGCCTTGCACCCCCTGAGAGCTCCAGGCTTAGGAGGAGACCAAGGTGAGCCCTGCTTCTAGCCAGAAACCCCGAGGCCCTAACCCCCAGGGCTGGATAGCTGCAGGGCCCAGGCTACTGCCCCTCCGGGGATGGACAGGTGCGAGGCCCCTCCAGAGGCGTAACCTGTTTCCGGCAGGCCGTGGCCGTGAGGAGAAGAGTGCGGAGGTCCCTTTCTTCTTTCTTCCTGAATAAAAAAATGCATGATGCTACATGTGCCTTGGGATTTTTCAACACAATTATCTAAAAATAGTGTGGGCCACCACAGCCTGATTCCTTTTTAGGAAGGATTTTGGGAGCCTAGCCTGTCCTGGCGGCCAGCTCAGGAAGTGGAGGCTTGTCTGGGTGGGGCCGGAGCTGTGGCGACCCTTCCCTTGCTCTGGCCAGGCCCACCCCGTCTCCCAGTTCTCCGAGAGCCAGGCTGCCAGGAGTGCATGGTGGAGTGGCCAGTAGCTTCCTGGCTGGGCCCACAGCCCCGGTGAATTTCAGCCCTGCTGCTTGGGCACTGCATGAATTCTCTGTGCCTCAGTTTCCTCAACGGAGAAGTAGAAGTCATTGATCACAGTCAACAAGGCCCAGCAGAGACAGGAAAGAGGCTACTGAGGGAGGGTTGATAGGTGCCCGCTTCCCAGCCGAGCCTCTGTTCTTGCAAAGTCAGGCGAACTGTCCGGGTGTCCTGGACAACTCTTGACACCTTCCTGCCCCACCCAGGCCTTGGGACCAGCAGGGTGAGACCCAAGGCCTGGCTTCCCAAGGCCAACAGTGACCAGCTCAAGTTGGCTCCACTGCTCACCCTCTGCTGACACATTGTGTCCCTGTGGGGAGATAAAGGTCAGACACTGCACGTGGACTCCTTGTTTTCTAGGGAGCATGGCGGGTTCTGGAGGCCCAGCACAGCTCCCTGTCCACCCACAAGCAAAGGCCTTGGCCCACTGCCATGGTGCCCCCAAACACCGCGTGGCCTGTGGCTGAGGCCTGGACCATCATGCCTGTGGGCAGGGGTCAGGACACATTTTCTGATCACCTACTGTGTGGCTGGTGCTCTTCTAAACCTGAAGGCCCAGTTCTTATCTCTGAGAGTCTGTGGTCCAAGAAAGAAAAATCTAGCAACTCAAATAATTTCGAAATGACTCAGAACCTTGCATTTCTCTCTCTCTCTCTTTTTTTTTTTTTTTTTTTTTGAGACAGAGTCTTACTCTGTCACCCAGGCTGGAGTGCAGTAACACAATCTTGGCTCACTGCAACCTCCGCCTCCTGGGTTCAAGTGATTATCCTGCCTCAGCCTCCTGAGTAGCTGGGATTACAGGTGTGTGCCACCACACTTGGCTAATTTCTGTATTTTTAGTAGAGTTGGGCTTTCACCATGTTGGTCAGGCCGGTCTCGAACTCCTGACCTCGTGATCCATCCGCCTCAGCTTCCCAAAGTGCTGGGATTACAGGCGTGAGTCTCCGCGCCCAAAAACTTTGAGGGAGCTATAAGCACCCAGCCCGTGGGCATCCCGCCCTTCTCTGCTCCGTGAGGCCATTGGTGACCAGCTCTGCGGAACCCATGGCCGGCCGCACCCAGACTGCAGGCTCAGGTGTGTACACACAGACACGCACCGCGCACACACCCAGGTGCCACACCTCCCTGGGAGCAGGGAGGGGTGGAGGGGGCTGGGCAGCCTCTCGTGGTGTTGTCAGGCCTGCCTCCCATGGGCTGCTGTTGCCCAGGCAACCACCACAGGCTCAGGGCCGGAAGCCAAAGGACCAGCTCCCCCCTCCCACGCTGTGGTGCCCGTGTGGGGCGGGGTCTCTCTTTGAGTGCTCTGGCCACAGCAATTTTTACAGAGAGTAGGGGGAGGGCAGAGGGTGGCGTGGAGCACTGCTGTGGCTGCAAAAAGGGACAGGATTGAGTGGGGCCCAAAGAAGGCACTGGGGGCCAAAGAAGGCCAAAGGAGGCACTCCGCCCAGGCACATCCAGCTCCCTAGAGAGATCTCAGCGGACAGGTGGTGGGGTAGGTGTTCGGAGCACACTCCAGAGGCCAGGGAAGGACTGCAGCCAGGAGAAAGGGGAGGTGCCCAGGCCATGGCATGAGAAGGAGTCTCCCCGGTGGTCACCACCACGCCAGGCCAGGACCAGTGCCTGGAGGAAGCCACTCCTGACCGCAGCCCCCGCGGCTTCTCCTCCCACTACTCCTGGCTGGTTTTCCTGACCAGAGTCTCCCCTGGTGCTGTTCGCTCTTCTGCTCCTTTCAAATTGCCCTGAGTGGTCCCAGCATCCTCACAGACGCCCGCACTTGTCCTTCCACTCAGGCAGAGGGGATCGAAACCCGGAGCTGGCACTCTTCCCATAGCAACCGCAGAGGTGAAGAGTTTGCCCTTGACTTGCGTGGCCCACGGTGACGCACTGCTGTGAGTGCCTGAGTGTGTCTGCCCAGCCGAAGGCCCCCCCGCCTCTGTTTCTCCCACAGGGGTCTCGGCCCGAGCGCCCTGTGCTAGTGCGATTGCTGAGCCCACCTCACTCAGCACAGCGCCATGTTCAGCAGGCACCCACCGGGCACCAGGCACCCACCATGCACCAGGCACACCGCACAAGAAGCCTGGCAGGCGGTGCTCTGGACATCCTTCCCCCCAGCCCAGGCGTTCAGGGAGTGAGCAGAGAATGGAGGACTAGGTCAGCTTCTCTGTCCTCACTGGAGCCACAGCCATGGGTGCTAGAGTCAGGTACCGTGGGTTTCAAGTCCAGCTCGACTGTGTATCTGCAGCGTGGCTTTCAGTCTGTCACTTGTCCTCTCTGTGCCCCACCTAACTCATCTGTAAATGAGGGTTAATAAAGGCACCTACCTCATTTATTAGTTTGTTGTAAAAATCAAATCTGACCATGTCTTGAAAGCCTCAAGTACAAAGTGCCTGGTGCAGTGAGCATCAGCTATTTGTTTTAGAGGGACGCGAGGCAGGGAGAAGCAGGGCCTGTGCCTTCTTGCCCGTGTTCCTCTTACACGGGTCACATGGCCATGGGAGTTCCCACTCTGGGCCTCAGTTTCCCCAGCTGGGGGCTGAGAAGGTGAGGCTCCCCTTCTCAGAGCACATCACCTTCTCAGAGCACACACTGCAGAGTCTCTGACTGTCATGTCTCCTACAGGCCAGGACTGCTGGGGACGCAGGCAGAGCCAAGGGCATGCAGTTGCTGTGTGACGTTAGACAGATCACCCCTCCCGGGGCCTCTGCTCGGTCTCCTGTCCTGTAAGAGGCTCCAGCTGGTGCTGTTCCCTCCCAAACACCTTTGTGAGCTGTGAAAACATCAGAGACCTCAGGAGGTCCTTCTAGCTGGGGCCTGCTACATGCCAGGTCTCCACGGCACCCAACCCTGCAAGGTCACGGCTCCCAAGAGGCTGGGCGCTCGCTCAAGGCCTCAGCAAGAACAAAGCTGGTCTCTGCACCTCGGTCTGTTGGGCCCCAAGACCTTTGCTATAACCGTCTCCTTCTGCCTCAGCCCCTGGCCCCCACCCTACCTCCCAGCAAGTTCTCCCCGAAGTTCCTGGGTGACAGCCAATGGCCCTGGCGTGTGACAGCGTTTGGCTTTCTCCCATCAGAAGAGCAATTTTTTCCCCTCCTTGGCTGTACTTTCTTTTAATGATTTTTTGGCTCAAGGCCCAAGCTGGATCAAAGACTCCCTGGGGGAGGACAGTAGGAGAGGACAGTGGGTTTGCTGTGAGAAAATCGTGGAGGTAAAGCTTGTGGCTTAGGGTCTGGAGGGGACAGATGGGCCCAGGAGGCGGGGCTGCCTCAGGCTCCAAATGGGGAAGGGGTGTGGAGCCTCTCCGTCTCTCACCACAGATGCAGAAGAGGAGGTGAGGACAAGGAGCACGGGGTGGAGAAAGGAGCCCTTTAGGGTGAAGTGAGAGCAGGAGTTTCTCAGTGTGTTAGCTGTGACTGGACGACCTCGGGGCCCAAGCTTGAAGTCCCAGTGGACCCCTGTCTTCAGAGAAGCCTGAAAGATCTGCTCAGACGAGGAAGGGGGTGAGGTTGGGGCAAGGAGCCTGGGACTGTCTCTAGGAGCTTCGGACTCCCTTCGCTTTCCTTCTCTCTCACTCAGCACCATCCCCTCCCCACCTGCCAGGCTGGACCCAACTGGGGAAGCCTGGAAAGTACCCCTCGACTTGGTGGGTCCTGGTCTCAAGGGAAAAGGAAACCCTCCTGAGAGCAGCTGCCCTCTAGCTGGGCCTCAAAGGTGCCAGGAGGGGAAAGGGCCAGGGCCTGGAAAACACACCTGCTGATGGCAGCCTGGAGCTAGCTCTGCAGGGCGGGGGGCCATGCAAGTGGTAAACAAGAGGGAGGTGGCTCACCCCTTGGGAACTGCTGCTGATGTTGTTTTGGAGAAGGGAGCAGGAGGCAGCCACTGTGGAGCGCCAGGGCCCTGGAGAGCCAGAGAGAGCCACTGGAACAGAGGCAGTCCTGCGGGAGCCCAGGAGTCTGGGAAAGCCAGTAAAGATTAGGGTGAGGGAGGCCCAACTGCACCTCTGAGGGCTAAGGAGAGACCCTCCCTCTAGACAGAGTCATCAGGGTTTGTCCAGAATGCCTTGGGTTTCATACGCACTGACCTAAGTGACTTTGCATGTGCACACCTCCTGCACACAGACCCCTGCACACATGTTCACATGCACTCCTGCACACATGTACACACACCCTGCACACAGACCCCTGCACACATGTTCACATGCACTCCTGCACACATGTACACACACCCTGCACACAGACCCCTGCACACATGTTCACACGCACTCCTGCACACATGTACACACACCCTGCACACAGACCCCGGCACACACACTCCTGCACACACACTCCTGCACATATACACACTCACACACAGCTCTGCAGACACAGGTTCTGTGTGAGGCCACATGGTTCAAGTCTTAGCATCACCACTTCTTGGCTCTAAATGTGGGCATTTCACTTACACTGTCTAAGCCTCAGTTTCCCCATCTGTCAGGTGGAGCAAGTATTCTTATCCTACCTCTGGGTGATTGTGAGTTTGGCAATGCCAACTGCCAGCTTAGACCCATGCAAGTCATTGCCTCCCCATTTAGCTAAGGAAACTGCATCTCAGCAAGGTCGAGGGAGTGGCCCCAGTTCCTGGGCCAAGCAACAGGACAGGACTTGAATCACATTTTGAACCGAGGTCACCTGCACATCACACCTCCATATTCACCCATATGTGCCCACACGAGTTAGCAACTTGTGCACACTCGTAGATGCATATGACAGTAATAACAGCTACCATTATGGGCAGTTACCATAGGCTGGGCATTGTGCTAAGTGTTTTACCCATGCTCACACAGCACCTCACACCTCAGTGCTTCCCTGATGTGTTTGGCTGCAAGTAACAGAATTCAACGAAACCACAAATACAGCCATTGTTACTTCACAAGGACCCTGGGCATAGGCAATTTCAGGGTGGTTTGGTAGCTTGGTGAGGTCATCAAGGACCCAGGTTCTTTCCCTCTCTCTGCCCACCATCCTCCATGTTAACTTGGTGCCACATAGTGCAGGATGGCTGCTGCAGCACCGGCCACCACGTCTGCACTCCAGCGTGAAAGAAAGTGAGGGTGGACCTAAGAGAACTCTCCTTTCACACACTTCTCTTTTGTTAAGAAGCAAAAGCTCTCCCAGAAGCATCCCCCCAAAACTTTCCCTTACACTTCATTGCCTGAAATTGGGTCAATGGCCCCTAGCTGCAAAGGAGTCTGGGAAAGAAACAGCCTGGCACAGGGGTACAGGGCCATCATCACTGACTTATACAATGAAGCAAGACTTGTCCCTGGGGCTGGGCGTTCTGCTGCCTCGAACAAAATCAGCGTTCTGTTGGCCAGGAAGAGGAGGTGAAGGTGGATGAAAATGTCTACCTCTTGTGCCCTTCAGCACCATCCTTCATCCCTCCTCCAGGGGGCAGTGTGGGACAGAGGACACAGAAGGCACAGGGGTTTGAACTCCTGGTGGGGGATGAGGGGACCCCAAATTCCAGTGCAGCTGCGTCCTTAAGAGCAGCAAATCCAGCCAGCAACAGGCCTGCTGCATATAGCTTCCTGAACAAGGCGCGAACCTGGTTGTGCCCCCCCCAGGCACCAGAATCCAGGTCACAATGGCAAGTGTCCCCCAACCCAGACATCTAGTGCTGTGGTTCTCAACCTTTGTTTCTTCCTGCCATGACACTTGGATGGGATGGCTGCATACCCATGGCTGTCCTACCCTTCACCAGCCCTCGCCAAAACATACCTGCCTGCAAGTGCCTGATGATGCTGTCATGGGGTAGCCTGGAGTCCTCTCTAACTCAAGACAACAGGAAGTCAGCAGCTCACCTCCCCCGGGCATCACACGGAGTCAGCCAGGAGTCCCTTGTGTGGGGAATGACTGCCTCGTGGAGCGTATGTGAAGATGGTTTGTTGAGAAGGGCTGGCTGTCAGGTTCCTTCTGGAGTGAACATTAATCCGGCCTGCTCTTCAGTCAACACAGCTTGAGGACCAGTCCTGGCTGAGTGCTGAGAGCAGGGCTTGGCTGTCCAGGACCAACCATGGGTCTTTTTTGGGAGATGCATCCCTGTTTGGATTTTATCTGAAAGCCCCCTCTCCAGGGTCCTGCTGACGCCATGTGTGCCCTGTGGGCCTTGATCCGGGTCATGCATTCTGGGGGCGCTCTCCTGAGCTGGAGCCCTAGCCACTGTGCACACGATGTTTGGGGTCCCTGACCCTGCCAAAGCTCCAAGCTCCATGAAGCACCCTTCCTGCCTGCCCAGCCAGCAGCTTCTAGTGGAAGTTTATTTCCTTCTGCGCGCTCTGCAGTGCTGGCCACCGGCCTAATGAGCACGGCTTCTTGCTTTATGTTAGGCCCTGCAGATCTCCGACAGCAGCTGTCTCTGTCCCAGGCACTGGCAGAGGGAGGGGATGGAGTCCCCTCCAGATCAGAGTCAGAGATGGCAGCAGAAGCCCCTCCAGGCAGCACATGGCCCCAGGACACTTGCTGGGCGGGCCCCAAGAAGTCTCATACTTCTGGGCAGTGCAGGACTCAGCACCCTTTGGACAGATCTCCCTCCCACTGTCTCCCTAAACACTGAGAACTGAGCTTCTTATAAATGCTTTTGGGTGTTAAGAATGCGGCTCGGGAAGGCTGTGATCACACCACTGCACTCCAGCCGGGATGACAGAGGAAGGCCCTGTCTCGAAGGAAAAAAAAAAGAGTGTGGCAGTAGATCTGGGTGGCCCTTCCCTCTGAGAGAGTGGGTGGCAGGGAGTGGCTGGGTGTGAGGGGTGCGTGTGCCACGGCTCAAGGAGAGGGAGTCCCCACAGGTCCCCACATGGCTGCGTCAGCAGCTCTGGCTTCCAGCAAGTGGTGGGAGGGGAGGACGTGTTTGTCTGAAAAGGTTACTGAAGGTTGTTTCACTCAAAGGATTTAGTTCTTTGCATCCTGGCCGCTTGGAGCCCAGAGCTGGGGGAGGTGGGAGACACAGTGGGGTTTTCAGCTCATCTCCGCTCTGGGCGGGCTGGGGGCAGGGGCAGGGACTGGGTGTCCGCTGTGGATGCTGCTGCTGCACTCCTTGCAAGAAGGGAGGGGGTTCTGGTGAGGAAGGGCCAGAGCCCAGGTGTTCACACCTGCTGTGTGCTGAGCCTGTGCGGGTGCTGCCCAGGTGTTCACACCTGCTGTGTGCTGAGCCTGCGCGGGTGCTGCCCAGGTGTTCACACCTGCTGTGTGCTGAGCCTGTGCGGGTGCTGCCCAGGTGTTCACACCTGCTGTGTGCTGAGCCTGCGTGGGTGCTGCCCAGGTGTTCACACCTGCTGCGTGCTGAGCCTGCACGGGTGTTGCCCAGGTGTTCACACCTGCTGCGTGCTGAGCCTGCGCGGGTGCTGCCCAGGTGTTCACACCTGCTGTGTGCTGAGCCTGCGTGGGTGCTGCCCAGGTGTTCACACCTGCTGTGTGCTGAGCCTGTGCGGGTGTGGGTGCGGGTACTGCCCAGGTGTTCACACCTGCTGTGTGCTGAGCCTGTGCGGGTGCTGCCCAGGTGTTCACACCCGCTATGTGCCGAGCCTGTGTGGGTGCTGGGGACATGAGGACCCTGCCCCTGAGGAGTGTTCAGCCCTGGAGAGGGGCTGATGGCCATGCAGGTCACCATGGAGCCAAAGTTCTCAAATGGAGGCAATTGTGTCTCCCAGGGACCATTTGTCAATGTCACAATTGCCAAGGGATACTACTGGCATCTAGTGGGTAGAAGCCGGGCACTGCTAAAAATCCCACCATACACAGGACAGCTCCCTACCACGTGGACCTATGCAGCCCCCAAATATTAACAGGGTATCTCGGGACCACCCGTGGGCTGCCGGGGAGCCAACTTCTGCCTGGTCAGCTAACTCCGCGGTCCCGGGGCCTGGGGAAGAGCAAGGAGCAGCTGCAGACTGGCACATGCGATCCCCTCTCATGGCGCGATGCTGCCTGGTCAGGTACCTGCGCTTACTCATCAGGCCGCCCTCCCGTGGCCCTGGAGAGTGGCTCGTGGTCTTTGGCTCTAGGGTAGTGAGAGCCTGTGGGCCATAGGAGGGTCCAGACCTTTTCTTAGGCTCTTCAAGTCCCAGCACACACACGGGGAGCGGCTCTCCTCTCAGGGTGGCCGGGGCCCTGCTGGACTTGGAGAGATGCAAGCCCTAAACAGGGGGCTTTCTTCATACTCAAGCATCCAGCTGCCTCCTCTGGCCTGTCTCTGAAAATGGACAGGAGGCTCCCGCCTCTGTCCCCGATCCAAGACTTTCCTGCCCGGAGCACTGAGGCCCAGATAAGAACAACCAAATAGGGCAGAGGCCAGATCAGAGTCCACACCTTACCTTACTTTTTTGAACTTCCCTGCACCTTCCAGATAAAACCTCCATCTGCCCTTCCAATGACGTGACTTTGCTTCAACTTGCTTTTTTCTTTTTCTTTTTCTTTTTCTTTTTTTTTTTTGTTTGAGACAGTCTCGCTCTGTCGCCCAGGCTGGAGTGCAGTGGTGCAATCTTGGCTCACTGCAACCTCTGCCTCCTGAGTTCAAGTGATTCTCCTGCCTCAGCCTCCTGAGTAGCTGGGATTACAGGCGTGTGCCACCACACCCAGCTAATTTTTGTATTTTTGGTAGAGATGGGGTTTCACCATATTGGCCAGGCTGGTCTTGAACTCCTGACCTTGTGATCTGCCCGCCTCAGCCTCCCAAAGTGCTGGGATTACAGGTGTGAGCCACTGTGCCCGGCCAACTTGCTTTTCTAAGTGCACCCCTTGTCCCTCTCAAAGCCCTGGACTCTTCCAAGTCCCTGCCTTCCTGCCACGGAGCCCACCTCCCACCCCATCAATACTGAGTCTGCCTCCCCAACCTCGTCCCCACTGACAAGCCCAAATTTCATTGTTCCCTGTTTGGTCACTCATGCCCCAGTGCTTCCGTTCAGCACTTACTGCATTTGAAATTCAAACAAAAGAAAATGGCTTTAGTAAACTTTTTTTTTTAACCAAAACAAAACCTTCTTGTACTTTTTAAAAACACAGAAAAGTATAGAGAAGAAAACAAAAGCCTTAAAATGCTTCACTCCTAGAAAGCCGCCGCTAACAGCTGGAGAACATCCCTGCCCGTGTCTCAGTGCAAATACACACCAATAAATCCACGTTTCCAACTCCACAGAAGCGGGATCTCTTTGCAGCGGCTGCTCGTTCATCCATCAGTGTGACATGGAGAACCTTCCGTGTCAATACAAACACCCGTGCGCTCGCTGACCCTGTCGCAGGAACGCATTCCATGGGATCGGGATCCACAGATTGTCATCGAATTCTTCAGTTCCCAGTTAATGGACATTTAGATGATTTCCAACTTTTTTTTTTTTTTTTTGAGGCGGAGTCTCGCTCTGTCGCCCAGGCTGGAGTGCAGTGGCCGGATCTCAGCTCACTGCAAGCTCCGCCTCCCGGGTTTACACCATTCTCCTGCCTCAGCCTCCCGAGTAGCTGGGACTACAGGCGCTCGCCACCGTGCCCGGCTAGTTTTTTGTATTTTTTAGTAGAGAAGGGGTTTCACCGGGTTAGCCAGGATGGTCTCGATCTCCTGACCTCGTGATCCACCCGTCTCGGCCTCCCAAAGTGCTGGGATTACAGGCTTGAGCCACCGCGCCTGGCCCCAACTTTTTATTTTAATAAACAAGACAAGATTGTCCAATGTATACTTTGAACCAATGGTAATCATAAAAGTAATAACTACAGTGCATTCAGCACCATTTACATGCTTGGCATTACTGGAAGCACTTTATACGCAGTAACTCATTTACTCCTCCCAACAAGCCTGCAAGGCAGGTTCTGTTAGTGCCCATTTTACAGACAGGTAAAGTGAGGCATGCAGTTTATGCTAGAGGTCAAAAGTTAGTAAGGGGTAGCTGGGCGCGGTGGCTCAGGCCTGTAATCCCAGCACTTTGGGAGGCCGAGGTGGGCAGATCACGAGATCAGGAGATCAAGACCATCCTGGCTACCACGGTGAAATTCCGTCTCTACTAAAAATACAAAAAATTAGCCAGGCATGGTGGCAGAAGCCTGTAGTCCCAGATACTCAGGAGGCTGAGGCAGGAAAATGGCATGAACCTGGGAGGCGGAGCTTCCAGTGAGCTGAGATCACGCCACTGCACTCCGGCCTGGGCAACAGAGCGAGACTCTGTCTCAAAAAAAAAAAAAAAAAAAGTAAGGTGCAGAGCCTTCATAACCAACTTGCCCATGCTGGGGGAAATGTTTCTAATCTTTTCAATAATCTAATGGGGGGTGCAGAAAATCTCAATGTTGCTTTTATTTTCATTTTTGTTACTCATCAGGTTGATTTCTATTTTTGGTTTTTTTCTAAGTGTTGATAAGCATTCTTTTTTTTTTTTTTTTTTTTAAGAGATGGAGTCTCCCTCTGTCACCCAGGCTGGGGTGCAGTGGCACAATCATGGCTCGCTGCAACCTCGAACTCCTAGGCTCAAGGGGTCCTCCTGCCTCAGCAGCCTGCGTAGCCAAGACTACAGGTACACACTACCACGCCCAACTAACTTATTTCTATTTTTATTTAAAAATAATTTTCTGTGTAGAGATGTGGTCTCATTGTGTTGCCCAGGCTGGTCTTGAACTCCTGATCTCATGTGATCTTCCCACCTCGGCCTCCCAAATAGTTGGAATTATAGGCATGAGTCACTGTGTGCAGCCTTAATTCTTTTATGAATTACTTAGCCACATCTTTTTCTCATTTTTCAACGGAGGCCTTCTCAGTTTATTGATGTATTACAGTGCTTCATACACCGTGGAACTAGCCCTTTGTTTTAGAGAGGAAGGCCCTGTGGGCAGGGATCGCACCCTTCTCACCCCGTTTCCCCAGCCTGGCATGGAGTTGGCTGCCAGTACCTGGGATTCCAGGAGGTGTGACACCTTCATTGTTCGAAGCGGGGCTCTGGAAGCTCCTAGCACTTGACAGGGGCCCGACCTATTTATCATTGACTCTAATGTCTGTTCTGCCCCCTTGGCCCAAATAATAACTCCCTCTGTTTGCTCAGAGCTTGTAGAGTTCATAGAATGAACGTCCTCACACACTCATATGATTTGATGTGCACGCAGCCAGGCGAGCCAGGCATGATGCATGAGCCCCTTGTCAGAAATGAAGAGACTGGGACTCGTAACACAGAACACTCCAAAGCTCCCGTGGCCGAGACTGATGTCCAACTCGGGGCTTCTTGGTCCAAGGCTCACGTGCTCCATCTCTGAGTGACAAACTCAAATCAGGGGCGTCTCTGAGGCCCTTGTTTTGCTTACCTTTGCAAACCTTAGTTTGCTGGTCAGAAGAATGGGGTGGAATTTTCTGCCTGCAGAGGACAGGGACCTCTAAAGGCCTGGCTCCCCGACACGCCTGGAGACTGGCACACAGCAGGCCTTGCACCCGCCCGGTTCCGGCCCCGTCAGGCCAGGGCTGTGGGCCAGGCCAGCCTGCCTCTCAGAGAGCTCCCAGCTGGGGCTGAGCTCAGGGAAGGAGCCCAGGGAGCAGCGAGCGAGCGAGCAGCGGGCAGCACAACGGCCCCTTTGTGCCTGTTGCTAAGGGCCCGGCTGTATTTACTCAGCCTCAGTAAACAGGAGGTGCTGGAGGCCCCGCTCTGTTATGACAACTTAAAAAGCATTTTCTTTCCTTCCTCAGGCTGCTCATGCTCCAGGTGGCTCCAGGTGAGTCCCCATAGTGGAGGGGCTTCTCCAGGGCTGAGCTGGAGCCCAGTGGTAGGGCTGGGGAGCATCAGAAGGGTCACTTGGCTCAGCCCTCGAGGCTCTGATAGGGACGCTGACACTGGAGGGGGTCCCGGGCGCAAGGTCACAGAGGAGGGTCAGGCCAACACAGGCCTGACAGCTGCGGTCTGTCTGCACAGAGCTGATTTGGGAAGCGTCCACCTGTCCCTCACCGGCTGGTTGTCAGCATTTGGCTAAGTCCCCAGGCCATTCCCTGGGGAAATTAGAGGGAGGCTGCCCAGCTCACCTCCACCCAGAAGTTTCTGGAACCAGGCCCTTGGAGGCGAACAACCTGAACCATGGTCATTTTTTAAGGGTCTTAATGTCTTACCAACACATGGAGATCACTTTATAAGAATCACAATATTATTTGTAATGCTCATGATGAACCAATTACCACTTTCAGCCCCCGTTAGGGCAATAGCCTAGTGGTAGATACCAAATAGATACAGGATTTATTTCCAACACATCCAGGTTTAGGGGCCATAGGAGGTGCGTCCAGTGATGGGACCCTCCCTAGTGGCTGTAAAACAAACTTCCTCTGGCCCTGCAGACAACGTGGTTGTGCCTGAGGCTGTAACCTCCTTTGGAGAGAATGTCAAAGGCTTATGTTTGAGGCCCTCAGTGAGCAAGAAGCCTCCTGTGGCAGGCCCAACCCAAGGCAGCTGGCAGCCGGGGCTCCTGTGTGACCTTCAGCCAGTGCCCACCCCCTCTGACTCCCTTCCTCCTAGGGAGGGGTGAGCTGTGCTGGGGCGCTGCCTCTCCCCACACTGAGGGCTCGGGAGGGCTGGGGTGGAGGCTTTTCTGTACTGGAAACTGATCTCCAAGAATCCCCCTGACCCCTGAGCAGGTGCCTGGGGGCGTCCGCCAGGCAGGGAGCTTTTCCTGCTGGAGTCCCGCCCTCTCCTCCAGCCGCACACAAAGTTCTGTGTACTTTGGTGTGGCCTGGACTCCAGGCAGGGAATCCTTTGGGGAACCAAGCTGCTGTGTGGATTTCCTCCACGGTGGGGGCAGCCCATCCTGGGGAGGCCTCCTTGCCCCAGGGCCACCTTGTCCTGGCAAATAACCCACAGCTCAGGGTTCGGCCTGGGGTGGCTGCGATCCTGGCCCAGTGTTCTGTAAACGAGCCAGCTCTGGCTCCCAGCCCGGCAGGGGAAGGTCAGGGGCACGCAAGAGCACACAGGCCCCCTCACCTGGGTTGGTGCCACTGGGCTTGCCCCCAGGAGAAGCTCACCCTGCAGTCTGGGGCTCCCACTGGACCCTGCACTTACCCCTCAGCACGTTTTTCCGGCAGAATCAAATCGTGCCAGAGAGCTTCTGAGTGAGCCTCAGACAGATGGTGAACAGCAAGGAGGGCGCAGGGCCCTGTGGGGCTGAACCCTCCCCCAGGCCCAGCCCTGGGCCCCCAGAGCTGGCCTTATTGTCCCCATTTACAGATGAAGAATCTGGAACTTGCAAGGCCCCAGGGAGCATGGGGGAAATGTAGGAGACAATGCTGTGTCTGCAGATGGGCCTGGAACAACCGTATGCCCCGTGCCCGGCAGCTGCCTCTCAGAAGGAAGCCGAGAGCCCCACGTGACCATCCATCAGCCTCGTGACATCAAGCACGTTACTCAATGTCTCTGGGCCTCAGGGTTCATAAATAGTACACCTTATGGGGTTTCGGCAGTTAGTGAATTCATACTTTTTAAGCACTTAGCGTAGTGCCAGAAATAATCATTACATACATTTCTCAAATAAAACAAATATACTCTAATGGGATGATGACAATGAGAATGGCAACTATTACAAGATGAAACTGTCTTGGAGAAAGCAAAACAGCTCAAGCCTGCAGACCTCAGAGAGTTCTTCCGCTGAGGTGCCTCTAGGGTACCTGGATCCTGGGAAAGAGGTCACTGCCTAAGGTGGTCTGGGCTGGACTGGTCCCTGGGCCACTGTCTGGGAGTTCTCGGAAGGCCAGGTGGCTCAGAGCCTTCCTCCTTGGCCTTCCCTGATCCCTGCCTGACCTGGCAACTCACCCCAACGTGCTGTTAAGACCTTTTTCTCCTGGGCACTCAGCCCTGTTGTGGGTGTGACATCACAAATCCATCAGCCTCTGCTAATCTGACCCAGGTGAGGTTCTCTGTGTATGTCTCTGTGCTGGGCACAGGTGCTCGCAAGGGACACAGTGGAAGATCCAGCCATCAAGGTGCCCAAAGGTGAAGGGCACACTGACCCCAACACACATCACCCTAGATTTCTCCTTCCTTCCCTCCTTCCTTCCTTCCTTCCTTCCCTCCTTCCTTCCTTCCTTCCTTCCTTCCTTCCTTCCTTCCTTCCTTCCTTCCTTCCTTCCTTCCTTCCTTCCTCTCTCTCTCTCTCTTTCTTTCTTTCTTTCTTTCTTTCTTTCTTTCTTTCTTTCTTTCTTTCTTTCTTTCTTTCTGTCTCTCTCTCTGTCTGCCTCCCTCCCTCCCTCCCCCCGCCCCCTCTCTTTCTTTCTTTCGACAGAGTCTTGCTCTGTCACCCAGGCTGGAGTGCAGTGGTGCAATCTTGGCTTACTGCAATCTCCACCTCCCAGGTTCAAGCAATTTTCTGCCTCAGCCTCCCAAGTAGCTGGGATTACAGGGGTTTGCCCCTACGCCCAGCTAATTTTTGTATTTTTAATAGAGCGGGGTTTCACCATGTTGACTAGGCTGGTCTTGAACTCCTGACCTCAGGTGATCTGCCCGCCTTGGCCTCCCAAAGTGCTAGCCAGGCACAATGGCTCACGCCTGTAACCCTGTCGGATTTCGGCATGGGAGGGCAAGCGGTAGGAATTATGGACCCAGGAACAGGAGAGACCAAATCAAAGTGGCCTCAGAGAGGCAGCATGGCTCAGCTCAGAGCAGGCAGGAGGGTACAGTGACCCAGGGCTTGTACTACTGTCCCTGTGTCCGAGGTGACAAAGCTGGAGCTCAAAGAGGTGAAGGGAGGTGCCCAAGGCCACAAAGTCAGTCAGGGGCAGAGCAGCACCTCCCAAGCCTCTGGGCGTTCATGTTGCTTCCAGGGGCCAAACCCTGATTCATTTTGAGCCTGATTCAAATACCGGATTTTGATAGCCCTTCTTTTCCTGGGCCCTCCTTTCTGTTTTGTTTGGGGAGAAGGGGACAGGAATGAAGGGGGAGTCAGTGGGAGTCTGCCCAGGCAGAGGGGAAGAGCTCACTCTGGTTTGCACGCCCAAGAAGGCAGGCACAGGGGAAGCTGGCTGTGCGGCCCTGGCTCCTGAGTTTCTTCCAGCAGAACAGTGATGGGGGTGGGGATGAGGTGTGCGCTGGTTCACATGAGTGACACATTGGGAGCAGAGCAGCATCATCTAATGAGAACAACTGGGCCGTGCGCCACCAAAGGTGAGGCGGGGTGGAGGGGGCAGTCAGAGCTGGGTGAGCCGCCAGAGATGGGAACACGGGGCCACTCGTGCCTTGCCTGGCTGTCTGGCTGCATCACATGCAATAATGACAGTCACTGTTCATTGTGTGCTACTATGTGCCAAGCACCAGGCAAAGCACCTTCTACACGTTACCTCCTCTATCCTCACAACAGCCCCAGGAGCGGTGCTATTATCCCCCTTTCAGAGTAGGAAACTGAGGCTCAGGGAGGTGAAGAGATGTGACCTTGGTCACAAAGCTGGGGGGCAAACCTGGGTTGGCCCTGGAGCCTGGGCTTTGAGCCCCAGCCCCGCCCTGCCTCTCTGCACCTCTGTCATGGCTCCTAAAAGATGTGAGTGCTGGCCGGGCTCAGTGGCTCACTCCTGTAATCCCAGCATTTTGGGAGGCTGAGGTGGGTGGCTCAGCTGACGTCAGGAATTGAAGGCCAACCTGGACAACATGGAAACTCTGTCTCTAATACAAAAATTAGCCAGGAGTAGTGGTGGGCACCTATAATCCCAGCTACTCAGGAGACTGAGGCAGGAGAATAGCTTGAACCCAGGAGGCAGAGGTTGCAGTGAGCAGATTGCGCCACCGTATTCCAGCTGTGTGACAGAGCAAAACTCCATTGCAAAAAAAAAAAAAAGAATGTGAGTACAGGAGCTTGCCTCAACCTGTGGCCAGAGGGCATTGGAAGGAAGCAGAGGCCTCTGGGTGGTCATGAATGGTAACACCGATTGGCCCAGACTTTCAGCAAAATACCGGTGCCGGGCTCTGGGGGCACCATCATGCTGGGACCAGCTGCACCACATCATGAATGGGCGTGGGGGTGGGATTCAGGGGAGAGCTGAGTGGAGTGGCTGCTGTCAGTCATCTTGGAAAGAAGGTCCATGAAAGAGGAGTGTCTGGGATCTAGGAGGGAGAAAGGACTTTCTGCTCTCTCTGGGCTCGTGTGTCCCTTCAGAGGCCTGAAGTGGTCCTGGTGGTGGGTGAGTTTTCCCAGGTCGCATGGTGGTAGCTGGGAGTTAAAGACAAAACTGTGCCTCAGTTTCCCCCTCTTGGCGGTGGAGGTGGCAGCAGGAGCCCAGAGTGGGCAACAGTTTCTAGGACAACCAGTGTTGAGGACGGGTGTATTCAGTGACACTGGTTAAGGCAGGGTAAGGAGGACTTCGCTCAGGACCATCGTGATAGGTACAGGGGCCACTGCACCAGGGTCTTGCTGAGGGAGAGAAGAATTGGCTCAACTTCAAAGACCAGCCGGACAGGTGGGGATTTATAGCAGGGGAGGCAGAGCAGTTGTCAGTGGATGGAAAATTACCTAGAGGAAACGTCTGGCAAAACCGCCCCAACAGGATTCTTGCTGCAGGCAGGGTGATTGGACAGTGCCCGGGGGATGGTGGAGGACGAGGAACCCGTTCAGGTATCAACGGTGATCAGCGATCTAGGATGGGGGTTCTGCCTAAACTGACTTCGCAGGTTCTTTTGCTAAAACTGGGTTTTACAAGGAAGTGCACAGACGGGTGTAGCAGAAGATTCAGAAGACTGCCTAAAGTTTTGCCAAGCAAGGAATCTTCATCAGGATCATGACTGAGGGGGCCTTCGCCTCCGTGCAGGGGGAAGCTGCTCTGGCCACCCTAAGGAGGGAAGCAGCCTAAGAAGAGAGGTGTCCCCATGCGCCCCAAAGCCTGGGAACATCTGCAGTGGTCCACTCCCAGGAGAAGGAGTCTCAGCAGATGCTAGAGGAGAGAGCAGAATACCCGCTGCCACCAGGAGAAGCTTCCAGAGAGCACCAGAGGAAGGCAGGGACTGGGAAACGCACAGAAGCAGGGGTGCATACTCTGAGGGGGAAGATATGAAAAGTGAGGTCTCAGAACAGTGAGGTAGGAACACTGGAGGCACCAGTGACACACCAGCATTTTTTGTTCATTGTTCTTCAGGTAACACATCGCCCCCAACAAGATTTTGTTACTACGTCCCACAGTCCTGGGGGTTGACTGGTTCTCCCTGGGAGCCTCTCCTGCCATCACGGTGGCTGGGGCCAGAGTTGCTCTGAAGATGTCTTCATGCCCATGTCTGGCGGTTGAGCCTTGGCTGGGGCAGTTGGCTGGAGCATCCACATGCAGCCTCTGTGTAGCTTGGGCTTCCTCACACCATGGTGCCAGCCTTCCTTCATTCTAAGGAACTGGGCAGAAGCGGTGTTGCCGTTCATGATCCAGTCTCGGAAGTCACATAACTTTACCTCTGACATAGTCATAGGCCTGCCAAAACTCAAGGGAAGGGAACAAAGACCCCACTTCTCAAAGGGACGAGTATTGGCACCATGCTGTAAGAAGTACAGTGGCATGGGAGGTATCATGGCCAGCTCTGGAAAAGAAAACCGCCATATTAGTAAATATTTATTGCAGACCTACTGTGAGCCAGGCACTAAACCCTGGGAATCCAGACGTGACCCACAGGCACAAGTCCCTGCCTCATGGAGCTGACATTCTAGGAGGGGAAGCCAGACCATGGAGCAAATAAATAAATGAAATGGCACGTTAAGTGGAGGTGAGCACTAAGGAGGACAAGCAGTCAAGGACCAGGGCAGGCAGGGAGAGGGCTGAGTGACATGAGGGTCCTCTCCCCACATGCCCTGGTCCCCTCTGCGGGGATGTCTGGGGATGAGACTCCAGGAGAGAGATCAGCCTGAGCAGAGGCACTGAGGTGGGTGGGTGTTGGGGGCTCAGGCCACAGCTCAGAAGCAACAGGGCTGGAGTTGAGAGAGGGAGGAGAGTGTGAGGCGAGAGCAGCCAGGCAGTGGGCCCAGCATGGGCAGGTGGTCAGCCTTGGTGGAGACTTTGGCCTCTGCCTTGAGCAAAGCAGGGACTGTGGAGAGTTTTGAGCAGAAACAGAGAACGTCTCACTCTAAGAGCAGGACTGGATGTATAAGAACAGTTCTCCCCCACCACCATGGCACACGTTAACTTATGTAACATGTAACAAACCTGCACATCCTGCACATGTACCCCGGAACTCAAAATTAAAATAAATTTTAAAAAAACAACGAACAATTCTCCCTAACCCCCAGCCTCTGCTTACATGCCTCCAAGAATATGGGACTCCCCCTTCATTGCTAATGGGGTCTTTCTTCTCGTGAATGAACATGAGCCTCTTTGCTACATCCCCCGCATTATGGTTGGGTTCTGGGACCACTGAATGGCTCTGTCCCCATCCCTTGGTGTTTTAGGGGTGGATGCCTAACTCTCTGAGTCTTCACACTGAACCAACCCCACCCAGTTCTTTCCCCAGTCCATATACACGCCACTACCTCCTGAACGCTCACCTTTGTGGTCATTTATATGTGTCCTTTTTCTAAACCAGAGGGTGGCAAACTACAGCCCAAAGGCCAAATCTGGCCCACCACTTCTTTGTGCAAATAAAGTTTTATTGGAACATAGCCACACCCATTCATTTACTGTTGTGCTTGGCCACTTTTGTGCTATACTGGCAGAGTAGTTGAGTTGCTATGGTAGAGACTGACCCACAAAGTTTAAAATATTTACCCTCTGGTCCTTTACAGAGGAAGTTTCTGACCCTCTCCTAAATGTGTGTGCCTTAAGTTTCAATCCAATCACTCAGCTACTGCTGAAAGCAGATTGGAACGGGCAAGGAGGCCTGTTAGAAGGACAAGCTCTTAAAGATGAGCAGTAATAATCCCAAAGTATAATACTTTCACACATTTGCTATAAATTTGTAAAATTCAAATATCAATTTAGACTGGGCACAGTGGCTCACGCCTGTAAATCTCAGTGTTTTGGGAGACCTAGGCATGAGGATCACTTGAGCCCAGGAGCTTGAGACCAGCCTGGGCAATGTAGCCAGATCCTCTGTCTAAAACAAATTTTTTTTTTCTATTTTGAGATTTAGTCTCACTCTGTCACCCAGGCTGGAGTGCAGTGGCGCAATCTCAGCTCACTGCAACCTCTGCCTCCTGGGTTCAAGCGATTATCCTGCCTCAGCCTCCCGAGTAGCTGGGATTATAGGCACGCACCACCATGCCCAGTTAATTTTGGTATTTTTAGTAGAGACAGGGTTTCACCATGTTGGTCAGGCTGGTCTTGAACTCCTGACCTCGTGATCCACCTGCCTCGGCCTTCCAAAGTGCTGTGATTTCAGGCATGAGTTACTGCACCTGGCCCAAAACAATTTTTTTTTAAATTAGCCGAGCATGGTGGAGTGCACCTGTGGTCCCAGCTACTCAGGGGGCTGAGGCAAGAAATCGCTTGAACCCAGGAGTTGGAGTTTGTGGTGAGCTATGATCACACCATTGAACTTTAACCTGGAACAAGACACCATGACAATAAATAAATAAATAATTAAAGGATGAATTTATACAAACACATGTTTTAAAATTAGACTTTATGCCTAGTTCTCCGTAAAGATTTCTACGACACGTCTCTGGTTGTGTAAATACATATTGCTGTGTGTTTTCGTGAATGACCACCCCAACATGGAAGGCCTGGAATCTTATCTTCAATCCCTCCATTCCGCCTTCCCCTTGACCCCCACCTCAAGGGCTGCTGGAAGGCTCGCTGAGAGGGTGGAGGTGGAAGTTCCAGGGAAAGTAACCGCCAGGTATCCCAGCGTGGGGACTGTGTGTGGAAGGAGACTGGAGAAGGGAGTGGCTGGGATCCCAGGCACAGATCTCCTGCGTCATTGCCGCCCACCTGGGATGCAGAGATGCAGGGCGGTGTGTGGATACCACAGGTGTGCAAGCATCTTCTGGAAACTTCATTAGTGAAGTTGGTGGGTGAGGAGCTGAGAAAGAGAGCAGGGGGCCGGGAATGGTTGGCTCATGCCTGTAATCTCAGCGCTTTGGGAGACCAAGGTGGGAGAATTGCTTGAGAAGTGCGATCCTGTCTCTATGAAAAATGTAAAAATTAGCCAAGCATGGTGCTGCACGCCTGTAGACCCAACTACTTGGGAGGCTGAGATAGGAGGATTGCTTAAGCCCAGTAATTTGAGACTGCACTGAGCCATGATGGTGCCACTGCACTCCAGCCTGGGTGACAGAACAAGACCCTGTCTCTAAAATAAATAAATAGGCCAGGCATAGTGGCTCACACCTGAAATCCCAGCACTTTGGGAGGCTGAGGTGGGCAGATCACCTGAGGTCAGGAGTTCGAGACTAGCCTGGCCAATGTGGTGAAACCCCATCTCTACTAAAAACATAAAAATCAGCCGGGTGTGGTGGTGCATGCCTGGAGTTCCAGCTACTTAGGAGGCTGAGGCATGAGAACGGCTTGAACCTGGGAGGCAGAGGTTGTAGTGAGCCGAGATCGCACCACTGCACTCCATCCTGGGTGGCAGAGCAAGACTGTGTTTCAAAAAATAATAATAAAATAAAATAAATAAATATATGATAGACAGATACCGATAAATAGATAAGAAAGAAAGCAGAAAGTGCTATCAGGAGAGGAGAGGGCTGGGGATGCCATAAAGGCTCAGCTATTGGACCTTCACCATGGGGCAGGAGTTGAGGGCACCAGGGACCAAGGGGTCACAGACTCCTCCACACCCAGGCCCTGTTCTGGGTTCAATGAAGGCACCCTGACCTGCCTACTCACCTCCCCCAAGGGTTCCCTGGGCACCCAGACCAGTGCTGCCCAGCATTTTCTGTGTCATGGCTCTGGCAGGGTGCCTGGGTGCTGGCACTGGGCCAGATCCTCTTCTTCCTGCTCCAGAATGTGCCCAGGGTCACAGGTGGTATGGAAAGGCAGCTGCCCCTGCCCAGGCCTCCCCAGCAACAACCCTCGGTTGAGGTCATTTCCCTTTCTCATTTGTTCCATGAAAAATCTCTCCCCAGGTTAGCGGACAGGCAGGCCTTGCTCTGAACGAGCCTCCAGGGAGAGGTGGGAAGTGGAAAGTAGAATGCAGAGCTCTGGGTGGAGTTAGCTGAGCTGAGCTCATTAGATATCCCAGGACCTAGACACGACCTCGACAGGCTGAGCCCATGTCCTCTGAAATCGCCTTGAATGTATTAGACTAACTGGCCTCTAGCATTCTAGTTTTTCTTAATAACCACAAATAGATTATTTGTTTATTGACTAAGGTCAAAATATACAAGATAAATGTAGCAGATCAGGCAATGGGGGCCAGCTTCAGGGACCACCTGGAAGTTCCAGACTGCCTTGTGAGGGAGCTGACCAGCTGAAGGGGTATGAGAACTGTCATGTCCAGCCGTGAATCCAGGCATCCAACCATTCATTCACCCATCCTTCCATTCTTCCTTCTCTATCCTCTTACATTGCTCCTTTCAGCCTTTCATTCTTCCATCAGTCCATCCAAACATCCATCCATCATTTCATCCTTTATTTCCTTTCATCCTTCCATTAATTTATCTCACTATTAATAGAATCCAACTATCCAACTAATAGTATCCAACTATTCTTTTATCTATTCACCCTTTTCCCTTCCTTCCTTTCTTTCATTTTTCCATCGTTCCTTCCCTCCACTCTAATGTCAATCTTTCCCTCCATTCATCCATCCATCCTTTATCCTTCTATCTTTCCACTCAATATCTATCCTTCTTTCCTCCCATTCAACTGTCCTTTCTTTCATTCATACTCTTTCCATATATATCCATCCAACCATCCATCCATCTTTCCTTTTCCTCACTTCCATCCATCCATCATTCAATCTAGCCAATCATTCTTCCTTTCCTCCTTCCATTGGTCCACCCATCCTTTCTACCCATCAATACGTTCATTGATTACATATTTATGAGTACCGACTTGAACTGGATACTACTAATGTTTAAGTATTTACATTTATATGCATGTCCAAATTTTTCAATATGAACAAACCATAAGCGTATTCTAGAAACATCTCATAGGGAAGAAAGACTTCAAATACTTAAGGTACAACTTGAGAAATGCAATATAATAGATGTGTTCCCAAGAAGTAATGCAAGTTAGAGTGGAGTCGCCAGCCCTCAGGGGGTCATAATGGGTTTCCTGGGTGCTCTTGGGGGAGGTGGGAAGTGAACGTTTATCATGCAGATAAGGAAGGCATTCCAGGCTGAAGGAAGGCATTCCAGGCTGAAGGAAGGGAATGGGCAAAGTCACAGAGGCATGGGAGAGCAGGGAGGCGATAAAGAGCATTGTGTGCTAACAAGACAGAGCCTGGAGATGAGCGGGCTGGAGAGGAGAGCAGGAGCCCAGTCTCCATGGGCCACGTGAGGAATTTGGACTTTGTCCTGAGGACAAGGGGAGCCCTAGAAGAAAGGCCTCCTTGGCTGGGAGGGGAGGAAGGAATGTTCAGGGCTGAGGAATGTGACTGCAGGTAGGGGGAAGGTCACCCTGGGAGGTAGGAGAGGAGATGAC